TAAGTTAGATTAAGCTAGATTTTGGTTTAAATGGAATAGATTTGTGCAAAAAAAAATTTGGGCATGGTTTAACCTATTAGTCTGTGTATGTTCAAATTATAAATTCGGTTTAACCTATATTTAAAAAATAAAAGCCTAAGCTTTGGCTTAGTCCTGTTAGCATGTTTAAGATTATTAAGAATTCAATAATTGCAAAAATAACTAAAATAATATTATTTTATTATTCAAAATTATTTAAAATAAATAATATGATATAAGCCGGCATTTAGGTTTATAGGTTCGATATATACAAAAAAAACCTATAAACTGCTTTCTAAATAGTTTTTTAAAAAACTTAAGTTTTTTTTTTTTTTGACTATTTATAATAGATCAAGTCTGACTTAATATAGGCCAGGCCGACTTAGTTTATTTACACCCCTACCAATTTGTGACTGAAGTTGTAGTTGGATTAGGGTAGGTAGTAGTAAATTTATTTTAATGTAAATACATATGAAAGATTAAATATTTAAGATTAATGTCCAACCCTAATCTTTTTTAGGATTTTTTAAACCAAAGATAGGTCCAAATGGACTATTGGGGTTACTTGGATCATAAGGTAATACTAAGGATAATTTATAGGACCTCAACGAGATAAAAGAAATCTAAGCGAAGAAGCCCCAGCGAATCTGTCAATTTCTTCCCCTCTCCCCCGTTTGGTATCAGCACTTCCCACAATTCAATAATTCAATGCCCGAGGCTAAAGCTGACATAAAAGCCAAGGCAAAAGCTGAATTCCAATCTCACAGTCTTAGGAGCTTGTTGTCATGCTCATAGTGGAGGTTGCTTTTATTGTAGAGGGTGCCCTTACTGAAGAAGGTCTGTCCAGAGACGGTGAGTACCTCCTATGCCAAGAGATGGAAATGCATTTGAATAATTGATAGGTGTAAGGATCTGAGCCTAGGTTATGGGTTTGGGTGTTATTTTTGTTTGAATGTTGTGGTAAAGTAAGTGTGAGCATGTTAAAATAGTTTATTACAATGTGCGCATGTAATAAATAACATATCCACTCAGTTTATGATGGAGGTAATGCAATTAAATTATTTATTCTCTACTTTTTATTTGTCTTTTGTTTGATCTCTTATCTTTCTTTTTTTCCCTCCTTTTAATTCCGCTCTTTCTAGTAAAATTAAAATCTATTATTTTTAAATCTCATATTTTGTTTTGTTCTAAAAATGCACAAAACATATAGAATCTCATGTTCTATTATATACCAAATTCATTTACGGTTTCTGGTGATGACTTGGTATTGATTGGAAGAGTAGTTGAATCTGTCAACTGTTTGAGGGACTGAAATTTCTGTTCCGTTTACTAGCTTGGACTTCAAAATGTGTTTAATTCCCTTGAGGGTCATGAATTGAACAATAGTGGGTGCTAAATTGCATCTTGTATCGTTGAGAGCTGCAAGTCCGTATATACCCTTGAGAGGGGTAAATGTCATTATAGGGGTATTGTTGCAAGCAAAAGTAGAGACTAAGCTAGACAATGACGTTCCAGATATGGTGTTCAAAAGTAAAAGTGGGGTGGGGTGTGTGTGTTGAGTTGTAATGTGGGCTCATGAAATCAGCTGGTTAACGACACTTAGAGATCAGATGCCCTTGCTTGATGATGGAGGGGATATTTATAGGGGGAGAGGATGCTGTGCTCGCATGGGAGGGCGAGCCAGATCAATTCTCCTTGAGAAGTGTCAAGGGTGCCTGACATTGTTGCTGCAGCACACCCTTTGCGGTTCCTGCTATGCTGGTGGTAGTCACTGCTGCTGTAGCTGTGAAGTGGAAGCATCTATTTAAGAGGCTTGAGAGGGCTACCAAAGGAAGATAGCATCCCAACGTAGGACATTTTGGTGTCTTATGTAGGGAATCTGTTGCATGAGGACAAAAAGCAGGCAGAGTTGGTAAGTTCTGGTCAGCAGGGCTGACGTGGATAAGTGGAGGGAGATTGGACCTGCCTTCGGATTATAAATTTAGATCAAGCTTATAAATTTACTGATTGTTTTGACTATTTAGTATATACAAACTAAACTGTTGCAGAAGAAAAATAGACGGGCTTGAGTTTCCATATGTCTCCAATAATCCCAAAGCCCCGGTGAAAGCTCAAGTTTCAAAGCAATGCACCCTTATTGCAATCAGAAGATTCAGAAGTTCTTCAAAAACAAAATTCAGTAAAAATACCTACAGAGAATCTTTAACTTTTTATAAAAGAAATCCTAACAACCGGTAAGAAGTCTATAAAGAAAGGCTTAAACTAAGCATGAGGGGGCGATGGCACCCAAAGCTAAAAAAATTTGTAATATACATAAGTTAAGCACTCAACTACTTTCTATTGTTCCGTTCTTGGAGTTGGCCACAACTACTTCCAATTTTAATTTTTCGCATTAAAATTTGTAGTACTTATCGTTTACAGGTAAACCGAGATCTTTCTTAAAAGTGATAATTCTGCATCCTTTTAGAAATATTTGAACACCGTGATAGTTATTCAATAATTATAGCACAGTAACATCTAAAACATTCTGCCTTTAACTTGCTAGTTAAAGGTTGTTTAGAGATAATGTTTTTTCTATTATAAGTTATTCAATGCCAAATTTATAAACCTTAAAACTACACAGTATATTCGTTTTGGTTACCAAATCCAAGTAATTTAGATTTTAGAGGCAACAACTGAAAACTTTGCTGTCAATGAAAGTTGACTTAACTCTTATGATGGAAACATGTGCGGCTCAAAAGCCAACTTGAATTTGATTTCTGTTAATGATCCTTCAGTGGTAGCTATCCCCAAGACTTGTGACATGTCTTGTATTTAAAGTGAGATAACCTATCCTTCTCTTAAACTTTGTTTGCCAAGTAAAATTTGAAAACTTTACATGTAAACCTTGTTTTACTCTGGAAGAAACAATTAACCTCAAAACTTAAATATATAGCAACATTACTGAGAGAGGACGCAGAGACAAAGAACTGGATCAGTTTTGCATGCATTCATTCATGCAATTACTCATAAAAATTGTTTAGCGTTTCCGAGTAAGATATTTTGCTCACATAATTTCTGACATTTAGTTCCCTTGTTTATCTGATTTATTGCAATTGCATCTTGAAAGGCACCAAATAGAAGGTGACAAGGCAGGACCTACCCACTGGGACTGGGATGCAGAGTCAGAGATTGAGCAATAGTCAAATAAATAATTGGATGGTCATGTTGATTGATGAATCATGAAATAGCACAAAGGAATCAAATCAACTATACCTTTTTTTATGTCAATATATTAAAACAAATTGAAATTATAAATTTAGAGTACATAAACTGGGTGAACATTACGCATGTGTATCTTCAAAAACTTGGTAGTGTTGAGATATATAGTCTCACATTGGTTAGATGTGCAACTAATGTGGCCTTTATAAGGCCTTGAGCACTCTCACCCTTTGAGCTAGCTTTTGGGGTGGTGACCTCAAGGTTTTTAACATGGTATGAGAGTCTCACCGTCCCCCACTTTAAAGTGGAATTAAAAACAAAAAGCACAAAAGGTAAACCAAAAATTGGGCCTGTGCATAATCCACGCTTCTAGCCCAAAGGGCTCTTGCGTGAGGGGGCGTGTTGAGATATATAGTCTCACATTGGTTAGATGTGCAACTAATGTGGCCTTTATAAGGCCTTGGGCACTCCCACCCTTTGAGCTAGCTTTTAGGGTGGTGACCTCAAGGTTCTTAACAGGTAGTTTTGTTTTTCTTTTACTTAGTCGCATCTATAATCTATGTACTATCTAGAAATTGCGCAATTAATTTCTCCACCAATTTATTGTTTTCATGATAGACTTAACATATATAACTTTTTTTTTTTCTTTCTCTTGGTCGAATCTGTAATCTATGTGCTATGTAGGAATTGGACAATATCTCCACTTGTTTATTGCTTTTATGATAAACTTAAAAAGGTTCTTTGCGCATATAGTATGGTTACTTCTGGGGCATTTCCACTCACATGCCTACGGCATTTACCAACCATCGTCATTCTTTTACGCAAAAATGGCCACATTAACTGAATTTGGGTCTTAAATTTCTCTGTTAATTAATTTCTTTTTACTACGTCATACGTAGAACCCAAATTACCAATCCATAATCAGCGAAGAAAATTATATTCACTAATATAATAGCATTTTCACGCGCACGTTGTCGTTGCATATCAATCTATTTTTCAACAAAAAATAAAAAATATTATCTATTAATAAATACCTTTCTATTTTAAAATATATTCTTTAGGATGTTTAGAAAGAATGAAGTTTTAATATTATGTAGGATAATGCATGAGCCTAGATCACACCGCACATCCATAATCATTTCAGAATTACTTGTCTGACCATCAATCATCTGGTAGGAATTGTCACAATTTACTTAGTTGTGTTAAAAATTCGATAGCGAAAATGTTGTTACATTCTGCTTTGCTAGAACCGAAATAGTTGGATAGTCAAAATCAGTGTGAGAAATCGAAAAAAATAAAAAAATTCCAGAAATTATTAAAAGTTTGGGAATTAAATTCCGGGCAATCTAACATTTCCTTAACATATTAGTCATTGGGACATGAATATTATAAAATTGGAACAAGATATTAGATACCATTCTCGTATCACCCCTTAAAAACAAAAAAAGAAGATAATCTTAGATAGTCCCCAATCTCGTATATTTACAAAGAGACTCAAATTTGTAATTTTCCCAGTGAAGTAGGAGAAAAATGATAAATAAACTTACTTCCAAGTTCCAACTTCAAGGATGATTAATTAAATCCTTTAGAAAAATCATAGGCCGAAAGTTATTCTTTCCTTTTGAAATATTGTAATTTAAGTGAAACACAGACCAATTAAAAAACTACTAAATAACCTTAATTACAAAATAAAAGTCTCTCTTATTTTATTTAACAGAAATATAAACAAATTGTAACAAAATTATAAAATAATCAATCTTTATAGATCAGATAAAGCAAGTTTTCAATAACGATGTTCGACGAATGACCATGATGGATCGGTGGCCCCAAAACCTACACCAAACAATCACTAAATCATGTTTCAATAATAAATCAAAAATAATAATTTATATCCTCTGTTAACTATTATCATACACAATAATTCAATAATACACCTCAGGGGGGTGAAAATCCAACAACAACAAACATCAATAATAATAATAATAATAATAATAAAGTGTATGCAGTCGTCCAAAATTTTATTTTTCTCTTTTTTTTTCATCTTTTTATTTTTGGTTTTGTTATACTTATATACATTTCATCTTCATGATTCCATAAGCCCCACCACACAAAAAAAAAAGAAAAAAAGAAAAAAAGAAAAAAGAAAGTTCTCTTAGAAGGAAGAAGAAGTGTAGTCTCCGTTAAAATCAGTAAAACCAGAAGCAGCCCAGAGTCGTTGATTATAATCATCGAGCATATGATCAGGGACAAAAGGGGTCCTACAAAGAGGGCACGTTTTCTGATCGTGATCGATCCAACGGTCCACACAGCCCCGGTGGAAAATGTGCTTGCAGTTCCTCAAGCACCTGATCTCCTCCTCCTCGGAAAACTCGAACAGACACACCGCGCAACTGCTCGCGCTGTTCCCGGCGGCGACTTCGGCGAACTTCGCTACCGGAAGGAGCTCCCGGATGAGGACCGCCGACACGGAGGGGCTCCTGGTCGGGTCGGGCGTTCGTGGGTCGGGCCAGGCAACCTCGGTTTCGAGAAAGTCGGAGAGTCCGAGGAAGTGGAAGAGGAGGAATACGAGGTTTCGGAGGAGTCCGAGGAGTGTGAGGGCGTGAAGGAAGAGGTTGGGGAAGAACACCTCCGCGTAACCCACCGGGAAACCCATCGGAGAAAATTGGAGATAAGGTTATGGTTTTTTTTTTTTTAGAGAGAGAAAGAGACGAAGGAAAGATTCGTGTAGAGAGAGAAAGCGTGTGAGCGAGAACTGAGGAAGGAGGTTCTGTTTTGGGCAGCGAGCGTGGCATATAAAGTGACACATGTTTGTAAATTCTTAAAAAAATAAATAAATTAGGAATTAATGTTTCTTTTATAACGAGTGAAGGGGATAAAGATTATGTTAACCCAAAAAATAATCATATATGAACTATTAGAATAAGATCAAAATTAATTTAAAGTTTATTTAGTGATCCAATAAGTTGTCCCCACCTTTCCATATAATTAAAGTGAACCAAGGGAACCTTCATGGCTACATGGGATGGTTTGAGCCGAAAGAATTTAGATTTTAAAAAATGATATTAAAATTAATTTAATATGAGTGAAAATAAATGATTGAGAATAACAATAAACTCTATCATAATTGAAATGTTATCATTAATTATTAGATCCTATTTTATGAAACTAAGGTCAGCGCTTTGTAAAAATGGAGATAAATACATAACTTTTCCACTGATAATTATTCGATGTTTTCCTTGTTCAGAATATTTTATTTATCCCTTTCATGTGTCATTTACTGATAAAATAATGCAGAAATTGTACGTGAAAGTAAGAATGAATTCTTATTTTTGTTTTTTAAAAACTTGTTAATATTAATTTAATTTAAAAAAATAAGTAACATCAAATTAGTACTTAACAATAAAAGATGACATTACCTTGGTTATTAAAAAATTGACATTCATTTAATTTATTAATTAAATAAGCTAAAATTTAAATTTAAATAATAACTTTTTTTTGCGACTTAAACGCGAAAGAATGACTTTGATAAATCTATCTTTGAAGAATAAAATAATGATATCTAAACCTATTAAAAATTAAAATAAATAATTACTTAAAAAATAAAGAATGTATTTATAAATTTTTAAATAATAAATGTAATCAAGTGTAGAAATAATATATAAAATAAAGGTAGAATGTAAGTGTAATCATACCTAATGTCATTATTCTTTGAAATTTACGTGGAGACTTCACATTAATTATGCTATGAGTGAGCACTTTTATTTTATATAAAAAAGAAAGCTAATTAAAAGGTTGAATACATACATTTAAAAATCAAATTTAAATGACACTTTGTAATTATTTGAAATCATGTAGAGGAATTATACCTTACGTGTGACCCAATTTCTTTTCAATTAAATACTAAACGGAAGTTTGAAGGGTAGGGTTGGTGGGAGGTTTAATAAAAGACTGCGTATGGCTTACTCTGCCTTTCTCAAAATTTACGTATTAATTAATACAAATAGAAAAAAAAGTTCCACGTGCTTTTAATAGGGAAAGAGTACGATGTAGTGGGTTTCTAGTCATCATCGTTTCTATGACACTTTAATTATGTATTTAATTATCACCAAGTATGCAAATTAACTGGTATTAAATTATTCTAATTTAATTTGTGGTTTCGAATTACACAATTGCATTAAAGACTTAATAGGATGTTAAGAGGTAAGAACCTTAACAAAGAAGCAAGAGAAGAATTGAAAGAATTCACAAAGTGTATATTATTCAGAATGAAGTATTCTCTGTTTACAATTGCCCTTTAAACACTTGACAACTAACTAACCTCATGCATTCCACCAATTGGACACATGGCTACAATTCCTAACTAACTGCCACCTCATCTAACAGCTTATGACAGCTTAATGACTATTATACCCTTCCTACAATACTGACATGCAGTACCTCAGTTCGTAAAAATGCAATTAAACATCCACTATAAAGTCCTTAGCCCATGTAGGAGCTCCTCTCTTTCTTTTGCTCGTAACATTACCCTCATCTTCCAAATCAACCTTGTCCTCAAGGTTCAAATTAGGATAATGAAGCTTGAGGTCTTCTTCATCCTCCCAAGAAGAATCTTCAGGCAAAGAATGAGACCATTGAATCAGCCATTGAGTTCCTAATTTGTTTCTGCCAGAAACTTTGCGAGACATCAAAGCAGCCACTGGTTCCTGGATAGGATAATTCCCTTGACCAAATTCAGGTACAGTAGGAATAAGATCAGGATGATTACCCCTAAAAGGTTTCAACACCGAAACATGAAAGGAAGAATGTATCTTGCATCCTGCTGGAAGTTGCAATTGATAAGCAACCGGACTCAACACCCTGATGATGGGAAATGGACCAAAATAACGTTTGGCCAACTTCTGATTTGGCCTTCGAGCTGTTGTCATCTGTCTGTAAGGCTGTAGTTTAACCAAGACCAGATCACCTACTGCCAAGGATATATCCTTCCTATGTTTACCTGCCTGAATTTTCATTCTATTCTGTGCTCCCTGCAAGTGATTTTTAAGTTGAGCCAGTAAGGTATTTCTGTGAACTAAGGCTGTATCCACTGCCTCCACCTTGACTAGCCCTTTAGAGTAATAAGGAATTACTTGTGGCAGCTTGCCATAGAGTGCCTGGAAAGGACTCATACCAATAGAAGCATGATGTGCTGTGTTGTAATGTAATTCTGCCCAACTCAAGTACAATGACCATTTATGGTTTTCATCCGAACAAAACGCTCGAAGATACTGTTCTAAGTATCTATTAGTCACTTCAGATTGCCCATCCGATTGGGGGTGATAAGATGTGCTAGTATGCAGCTTGGTCCCACTAAATTTGAACAACAAGGTCCAAAATTGACTTAAGAAGACACTATCCCTATCAGATACAATAGTCTTTGGATAACCATGCAATTTTAACACCATATCACAAAAGAGAGATGCTACCTTAGCTGCTGTATACGGACTAGCCAATGCACCAAAATGTGCATATTTAGAAAGGCGATCCACCACCACAAAGATGATTGTGAAGTTTCGAGAAGAGGGTAAGCCAGTGATGAAATCCATGCTGATGTCTTCAAACACCCCATTTGAAATTGGCAACGGCTGGAGCAACCCAAAAGGAGGTGCTGTTGCTGTTTTCACCATTTGGCATATGGAGCAATTCTTGATCAATTCAGTTACCTCCTTCCTCATATGCGGCCAATGGAATGAAGCAGATAGTCTCAGCAAGGTGCGAGTCACACCCGCATGTCCCCCAATGGGAGTAGCATGTGCCTCATTCAGCAGAATTTGCCTCAATTCAGATGTGGAACTTAACAGCAAACGATTTTTGTAATACAACACTCTATCCCTTGCTGTAATATGAGGATCAACAGAGATACCCTTGCTCAACTTAGAATGTAAAGACAACAATTCAGGATCAGAAGTATTCTCCCCCTTAAGTTGATCCATGATATCAAAATGAATTTCAGATAACAAGGACAGGGCAGTACCTCCCTTTTCTTCTTCATACATTCGAGATAAGGAATCAGCCACAATATTAGAACTACCAGGCTTATACTCGATAACAAAGTCATATCCCATCAACTTACAAGCATACCTTTGCTGTTCCAAGGTCTGAACTGTTTTCGAAACAAGTTCCTTCAAGCTCCTATGATCAGTCTTGATAACAAACTTGGAGCCAAGCAAATAATGCCTCCATTTCTTCACAGCTTCAGTGACAGCAAAAAGTTCCCTAACATAGGTTGATGCCACCCTCATTTTAGGTCCCAATTTCTTACTGAAAAACGATATTGGTCTGCTGTTCTGCAACAATACAGCCCCTATGCCAATTGATGATGCATCAGTTTCAACTACAAAAGGAAGAGAGAAGTCAGGTAAAATAAGGACAGGAGTGGAACTCATGGTTTCCTTAAGCAATTGGAAAGCTGTTGCAGCTTCATCATTCCAAACAAAAGAGTCACTCCTAAGCAAGTCAGTGAGAGGAGCTGCCAAGGTGGCATATTGGCGGATGAATCTTCTATAATACCCAGTTAAGCCAATGAAACCCCTAAGTTGCTTCATATTCTTTGGTTGAGGCCAATCCATCTTTGCACAAATCTTCTTGAGGTCAGCCTTAACCCCCCTCTCCTGAAACAAGATGTCCTAAATAGTCCACTTCAAATAGAGCAAACCCACATTTACTAATTTTGACCTTAAACTGATTCTGTTGCAAGCATTCTAAGGCCAATTGCAAATGAATCAAGTGTTCATCAAGAGAAACACTATATATCAAGATGTCATCAAAGAACACTATGATGAATCGTCTCAAATAGGGTCTAAACATTTGATTCATTGCCGATTGGAATGTAGATGGAGCATTTGTCAAACCAAATGGCATTACCAAAAACTCATAATGTCCATCATGAGTCCTAAAGGCTGTCTTGAGAGTGTCTTGAGGAAGTAACCGTATTTGGTGATATCCACTTCTTAAATCCAACTTGGAAAATACACTTGCTCCTCTCAATTCATCAAGTAGTTCATCTATAGTAGGGATTGGGAATCGATCCCTTATTGTTATTTTATTTAAAGCTCTATAATCAATGCACATTCGCCAAGAATTGTCATGCTTTTTCACAAGCAGAACTGGTGAAGAATAGGGACTTCTGCTAACCTTAATGAAACCAGAAACTAACAAATCAGCCACTTGCTTCTCGATTTCAGATTTTTGATGATGACCATATCTATAGGGCCGCACATTAACTGGCTTGGAATCTGCTTGTAAGTGGATAGCATGGTCATAATCCCTAGCAGGAGGTAGTCCTTGTGGTACTTGAAAGACATCTTGGTACTGAACCAAAACGTTCCACACAGCCAAAGGAATTGTATCCTTTACTGTTGACAATTCTGTTAATCCTTCCTTGACACTGATTTCCCCCGAAAGCATGGTGACAGCATCAATTTGAGGTAAAGCAAAGCATTCAGCAGAAGAACTCTTATTACTGCCTCCCTCTCCCCTCAAAATTATCCTCTGATTGTGCCAATTAAATTCCATTGATAGATCAGTATAATCATGGATAACTTTTCCCAAAGTACTCAACCACATGATACCCAAAATAATTCCTAGACCAGTTAAATCAATAATCCAAAGGTCCACCACAAAGTCATGCCCTTGAATGTTCATCACAGCAGCAGGACACTTCTTTTCACACACCAGAAAATCCCTATTTCCTAAGAATACCCTCATTTTTGGGACTTTAATCATAGGCAAGCCTAAACTGAGAGCTAGTTCCTTTTGCACAAAGTTATGAGAACTGCCTGAATCTATGAGAATAGGAACTGACCTGCCATTCATCTGAATATGAAATTGCAAAGCTCTAGGATTCTGGTCACTCTCCATAGAATGTAATGCTGCATCCATATGTTGTATCACTGATTCAGTATGATCTTGTGGCATCTGTTCAGGCTGCCATACTATTTGTTCCTCACTGTCTAACACGGCATCTTCAGATTCCCCAACCATGAACAACATACGACCTTTACATATGTGCTTAGAATTCCACTTCTCATCACAAGTATAGCACAAACCCAAATCCTTTCTCTTCTGCAGATATTCATTAGACACCCTCCTACTGGATGCTGGAGGTGGTAAGGCTGGAGAACTTGGTTTGTTGATAGGTACAGTAGATGGCAAGGCAGGAAAATTTGATTTGTGGTGTGGTACAAAGGTGGTAGTAGGGTTGTGTGAGACACTGGACAAGGGCTTGGGATAAAATTTCTGGGGTACAGAGGACAGGGACTTACGAAGGTCCAAGTAATGAGCTTCATATGTCAAGGCCAATTGCATGGCTTGATGCAAGGAAGTGGGTTTATGCAATTGAATTGCTCTCCTTAAATCAGCTTGCAAACCAGAAACAAAAAAACTCATCAAAACCGCATCAGAAAACTCGGTTACTTGATTAATCAATGCTTCAAAACTTCGAATGTAATCAGTAAGATCTCCCTCCTGAGTTAATTTGGATAACACACCCCTGAGATCAGTGTATGTAGTGCCACCAAAACGTTGCTGTAATGCAACCTTGAAATCCTCCCACAATTGAATCGTGCCTCCACTAAACAACCATTGAAACCATGGACCAGCCATTCCCTCCATTTTCATACCTGCTAAACGAACCTTTAGAGTATCGGGTATTTGATGCAACCCAAAATACAACTCCGTTCGAAAAATCCAGGACACTGGATCTTTTCCATCAAAAGAAAGTAATTCCATTTTAACAGATCGCATCACATTTCGCGAATCCGAATGATCAAACCTGAATTGATTATGTTCTGCATGACCAGAACTACTTGGAACTGCATTTGTTGAAGGTCTGAGTATGGCATGATCATTCATGCGAGATTCAACACCCATAATCGCTGCATGGATTTGTTGAAGCTGATTGTTGAGGTTCACGAACTGGGTTTGATGATCAACAGAACGCTGCTGCAGGTCCTCCAAACTTCGATCAACTCGCGTCTGGAAAGAGGATAAGTCTTCAGCTAACTCTTGAATTCTCATTGTCAAACGTCGTGAGAACAACAATATGAAAGCACCAATGTTAAGAGGTAAGAACCCTAACAAAGAAGCAAGAGAAGAATTGAAAGAATTCACAAAGTGTATATTATTCAGAATGAAGTCTTCTCTGTTTACAATTGCCCTTTAAACACTTGACAACTAACTAACCTTATGCATTCCACCAATTGGACACATGGCTACAATTCCTAACTAACTGCCACCTCATCTAACAGCTTATGACAGCTTAATGACTATTATACCCTTCCTACAATACTGACATGCAGTACCTCAATTCATAAAAATGCAATTAAACATCCACTATAAAGTCCTTAGCCCATGTAGGAGCTCCTCTCTTTCTTTTGCTCGTAACATAGGAAGAATTTTGTTACCTTCATAATTATGTCCGACTCGTTCAAATTAGATGATTAATCCATAAATTGGTGGAGAAATTAATATTTTTTTTATCCATTCTCGTCATAAATTCTTCATTGATTTTACATAAAGATGATTATGAACAACATAAGTATATTCGTATCCGATATCTACATATTTAATCCGTATATTGCAAGTGACCTTATAACAAAATGTATTTCATGTTTGTAAAGAACCTTGGGATGCACCACTTCAAAAGCTAGCTCAATGAGTGAGAATGTCCAAGGCCTTATAAAGGCCATATTAGTTGCTCATCCAATCAATGTGGGACTATATATCTTAACACGTCCCCTCACGCAAGAGCCTTTTTAGGCTAGAAGTGTGGAAATTGCCTTCTTGTGCTTTTTTTTATTTTAATTCCACTTTTTAAAGCGGGGGACGGTGAGGCTCTGATACCATGTAAAGAACCTTGGGATGCACCACTCCAAAAGCTAGCTCAAGGAGTGGGAATGTCCAAGGTCTTATAAAGGCCATATTAGTTGCCCATCCAATCAATGTGGGACTATATATCTCAACAATGTTCATATGTTAACCTAAATGATTAAAGTTAGTATATTTTAAGACCAACATGATTTAATTTAAAGTCGTGATTTGCAATGGGAAGCCAAGGATTTTGTTTACATAAACTACTGATTTTTTTTGAGATAAAAATAAAATATTAATTATGATCACCATCTGCGGCATATTAACTAAAATTCTTGTTCGTAATATTAATTTGTTGTTATTCTGTTTTTTTTAGGAAAACAAATCTTATAATATGATATTGACCTACTAAACTACACTCGTTATTTTTTTTTTTGTTGCATGTATATGCCCTTTTTTTATTTAAAATTACTTTGCTGAATAAATATTGTACTAGTTATGTACTTAAGAAAATTGATTCCAAGACAAGTAGTTTTATATGGAAACTCAGAACCTCGTGGCTTGCCCAAGTAGTTAAAATCGAGATTTTAAGTAAAATCGAATGAGGACTAAAAAATCGTAAAACGTAAAATTGTAATGTAAAAAAATCATAAAAAAATCGTAAAAATGTAAAAGCGTTGGAAATATTAGTAAAATCATTTTAATAAAAAAATATCGTAAAAACGTAAAATAGTAGTGATAAATCGAGATTTTAACAATCATGAATATTATCATCTTTTTCATATAAAAAGTGTGAAAATGTTATAAAAATATTTGTAATAAAAAATATATGTTATTTCGTATCATATATTTATTGAAATTAAATTATATAATCATTTGGAGTACATTTTTTTAATAAAATATTTAATAAAAAATCACTTTCATAACATTCTTTTTTAAAGAAATGAGTCATTTTAGTCTAAATAAATCAGGTTTATGAAAAATATTTTGAGTATCGCCTAACCTATTAGTTTGGTGTAGGTTAAATTATAGGTATGGTCTGACTTATATTTAAAAATTAAAAGACCGAATCCAAGCTTATTAATATAAGGTTTTATAAAAGTTATGTTGTAGGAAAAGTGATTGTAATATGTTATAGAGATTCGTTTTGTGTGCCGTAGTTTTTTTTTTTTTTTTGCTTCAAAAAATGTGAGCCCCACAAAATATTGCGTGTATAGAAAACTTTTTCATTACATGTTAAATGATGAATGCAAATCCCATTAATATATTAAAACTATCAAACATTCAATACATATTAAGAATTAGAAAAATTAAATTAAAAAATATTAATTTATTAATTAAATCTATTGAAATAATTGATTTATTTTATTTTAGTTAAAATAAATAATATGATATAGACTGTTTTGTAGGCCAAGTCTTTTAAAAGTAAGTTTATGACTTATTTTCTAAACAAATTTTTCTAATATTGGAATTTGTTCTATTTTACTACATATATTAAATCAAGTCTATTATACCCCCTTAACTACCTTCCTCCCCTTTTTCCACTAGTATATTAATAAAAAAAATATTCACAGAGAAAATGGTAAATTTTATTATATTTCTAAAAAGGTCTTTTTGAATTTGGGAAGAATGGGAAATGATGATATGAGAAATTGAACTCCTACTACAAAACTGCAGCTAAGGGTGGATGGAGGGAGATTTAAGCCTAATTGGCTTAAAATTTGATTTGAAGATATTTTTTATCATATTATATAATTAAAAAAAGCCTCTAATAAAATTTAAATATGATCAATTGTGAGTTATAAAATTTGTCTTTATATTTATGGGATAGAATATTCTACTTGCATTTTTTTATGTCTATTTTACCTTCTTAATTATTTTAACACCGTTAAATCAGAATCTCAACTAACTGTTACTTTTTGTCTCTCCTCTTAAGATTCTGTTGGTGTTGGATATAAGTAGGCATAAAAAATATAAGCATAATATTCTATCCCTATATTTATATTTGGGAGTTATGAAATAAAAGAGATTGGGCTACTACTTTTGCGATTCATTGGCTGTTGGGCATTATTATTGATGAGTCCAATAGAGATTGGGCTAGATCACACATGACTGAATGACTGAGTCGGTCCGAGCCGAGTTTTAAAACACTACTGATACAATAGTTGTATAAGATTTTGTTAAAATGAGTGTTATGAGATGTTGATTCCGCTGGATGTTTTAGGGTTTTACGGGATGTTCTACGAGATGGGGGATTTGAGGCTGGATCCTTGACATGCTGAGGCGATTGGGAAATGTACCTTCAAGAATCCCTGGCGCTCAAGTTAGTATATAAGTTATGAGCTTTAGTTAAGATAGAATAAATGGTCATACCTGGGCATCAAGCATTGTTAGTGGTTGATTGTCATGTTTATGCAGCTTTAGTATGACGGTATTTAATCTCATTGATGCATAGAAGCGACTCTTGCAAGTTATCCCGTGTGGGAGAAGTCTATTTGTGAGCTATGCCTTATAGGTGTACTTGGATGTCCCTTGGCCATTGGCTATTAGGGTAGTTATAGGCTTATGCGCTGCTAATGTCGTATAGCGGTAGAGAACCAAACTGCTAATGTTGTGTGTCAATGTACATGTGCGATATTAGTAGAATGACCGCATTTTCTTAACCTTAAAATAGTTGTTGGACCTTGTATTTTGCGTGGGATAGGTCCATATCAATTTCTATACACAAAAGCATAAGAAATTTTGGGTCCCTCAAATACTCATAAAAGATTAAAATGTTTTGCATTAAAAATTCACAAGCTGCCTGTTAATTTGTTTGTATAAATAAAGTTTCTCTCGCACTTCATAATCTCTCTTTATTATTGTATTATTTTTAAGTATTTTTTTGAAGGTTTGTTTTATTTTTCCTGTGTATAAACATCTTTTCCAATAATAAAAAGGTTAAGTATTGTTCAGTTAATTTGGTGTTGATATCTGAATGGATTGCATTGTTTTTCTTTGATTTTCTTTTATGGTAATTAGATTGATTGTGGTGTTCCTATATACGAGATGTTTGTTGATCGAGGAGGGTGGTATATATAAAATATAGAGACTCCGATATTTAACTCAGTATCAAATCAGGATAGAGTATGCAATTATATTTAAATATACCTTAAAGTGAAGATCGTACTAGTGCGAGGCAATCATCTATTGCTCAAAATCATGGGATCTTGAGGGCCTTATATGATGGGATAGTCGTAATTAGTTATTTATGGAAGAATTATGATATTGTCCCAAAGCACTAGTCTGAAACAAATATGATTTAAATTTAATTTAGTAGTTGGCTTATTTTTGCACCTAGAACTCAAAGGGTTGATTTTCATTAGAGGTCAGTGAAATTAATAGATATTTCAATATTAAAAAATGAAAAAAAATCATATTTACAAACTTTTTGTTTACAAATTATATTAAGTATGACGGGTCATACTTAACGTAATTCATAAAAAAAATTTATAAACGGATAGCTTTAAAACCAAAGGCAAAATTTTGGGCGCTAAATCACCTCAGGTTTAATATGCTTCCGGTGCTATTTTAACGAAGAGGTAGTTTTAAAACCATACTTGGGTGGATAAGGGTGTAAAAAAGCTGGGTCGTGGGTCAGGTTAGATTTTGGTTTACATAGATTAGGACTTTGTAAAATATGTTAGGTATGGTTTAATTTATTATTCTTGTATAGTCTCAAATTATAAATATGAACTGACCTAGGTTTAAAAATTAAAAAGCTTGGCCTAAAATTGTTATTCTATTTAAGACTATTGGACACTCAATAATTTAAAAAATAATTAAATTAATATAATTTTGTTATTCAAAATTATTAAAATATAATTTTATTTATTTTATTTAAAAATACATAAAATAATATATGTTAGCCTATAAACTTATAGAATGGGCCTTGTAAAAGAAATCTTGTAATATGTTTTCTTAAAAATCTTTTTTAAAAGATTGAACCTATTCTATTTTATTAGATATAAAAGGTCAAGTTTGATCTGATGTAGGCCGGGTCATAAATCCTTAATAGTCTGTCCAATCCATTTACATCCCCTATGGGTGAGAATATATCCTAAATTAAAAAAAAAAAAAATAGACGTGAAAAATGAAATGCATAAATCAAGCTTAGTTAGGACTCATTAAAAACAAGTGCAAAGTAGGATATGAAGGAAAGAGTACAA